GACCCACCAACTCTCCGTCACCCCATCGCCCCTGACCCACCAACTCTAGGCTTCTTTCCTCATCCCTGTGAACATCTCATTTTGACCCTCAACCTCTACTTCATACTTTCCACTGAGGACCCTCTCCCTTCAGGATGTCGCCCCACACCCCGAGGCCTTTCCTGTCCTCACACTGGGCTCTTCCAGCAGCCCAGTGTCCCTGCTTCCTGGACTTCCCTCTCCCCTATTCTTCCCACCTCCCACTTAAGCCATGCTCTCCAGTCTTCCCTACCAATTCCTCCTCCTTCTCTCCTCTTAGCTCCTGTTGTGCCATCCCTAACCCCTGCTCCGTTCATTTCTTCTACTTCTCCTTCCCCACTGGGCCCATTTCCTTGGGCCCTCTGACACTAGGCTGAAGCGCAGTCTCCAACCCTCCCACTCAACTGCCCTTAGCAAAGGGGCTCAGACCCTGGTTCTGCTCAGCCAGAAGCAGCTCTGGAGAGGCCCTCGGTCCCGAGAGGGAAGGACTGTTGAGCAAGCGCGCGAGGGGAAGGAGGGGTTGTGTACTATTGTTATGGCAACGGGGGCGGGGGGCACTTGGCTACTGCTGCTTGCCAACGTTGAGGGCCGAGCGGCGACTAACTGACGGCGCAAATCGCCGGGGAGGGGATTGATCAATAGCTGCCTGGTTACCAGGCCAATTTCCCAATCCGGGGAACCCGGATGAGGCGCGAAAAGGGCGTCGGGCCGCTAATTGGCGAAGGACAAAAAAAAAAAAAAATGTGGGCAGGGCTGAGAAGGGGGCGGGGCTAGCTATTACGTCACCCAAGACCCTAAAGGAACCGAACCCCTTCAATGCAGAAGTATTGTGAATTCAGGAGGAACACATCCACAAGAAGCTAAAAGGGCGGGGCTGCGAGGAAAAACAAGAAGCACCAAGATAAGGGATCTTTTCCCCTTCCCCCTATAGTTTCTGCTCATTAGTTGTTTTCAGGTAGACCTTTGGAGGGTGACTTGGAGCCGAAGGAGCCCAGGCCTAATTACCTGGGTTGGAGTCTTGGCAGACTGCATTTACTAGCTAAACGTACCCAAGACTCTCATCTGTAGAATAAGCTTAGCTATATCAACTGACAGGGATCCAGTATACTCAAACTGACTGGTTTGATGCAAACATTTTAGTGGGTAGGAAGGCAGAAAATTCAACATCTGTCCACTAAAATACTCTTGATCCAACGTTGTTATATCAATAATCAACAGGAACTTGGACAGCCAGACCCAGGCACTCACTCCTGTCTGACCTGTTGAAAGATACGAAAAAGAGATTGAGATGCAATAAACATTGCTGCTGGAGAGTTTGTGCCAGACATTGGGTCAAACTTCTTTACAACTGATATTTAATCTCCGCAACAGTCCTGTGAGACGGACATTCGAAAGAAGATATTGAGGCTCAGGGAGGGTAAGATGACACAATTCCTGCCTGGGGAAAGGCGGATGTTACTAATCTTGTTGTGGAATCTAATGTAAATAAAACAATCAGGTAACCAAGTAAGATGCCATTTGATTAATTGTTAAATTGTGCCCACAGACTTTATATAACATCCAATCCAAAGTGGACTGGGCGTGGTGGCTCACACTTGTGTTCCAGCACTTTGGAAGGCTGAGGTGGGCAAATCACCAAGTCAGGAGTTCGAGACCAGCCTGGCCAAAATGGTGAATTCCCATCTCTACTACAAATAGAAAAAATTAGCTGGGTGTGGTGGTGGGCGCCTGTAATCCCAGGTACTTGAAAGACTAAAGCAGGAGAATCGCTTGAACCTGGGAGGTGGAGGTTGCAGTGAGCTGAGATCATGCCACTGCACTCCAGAGTTGAGACTTCGTCTCCAAAAAACAAAAAACAAACAAACAACAACAACAAAAAACATCCAAAGTGGTCTGATGGAAGATGTGCTGGGCAAGAAATCAGGAAGTATTAGCAGGGCAAGGTGGCTCACATCTGTAATCGCAGCATTTTGGGAGGCCGAGGTGGGTGGATCATGAGATCAGGAGATCTGGCCAACATGGTGAAACCCTGTCTCTACTAAAAATACAAAAATTAGCCAGATGTGGTGGCGCATGCCTGTAGTCCCAGCTACTTGGGAGACTGAGGCAGAAGAATTGCTTGAATCCAGGAGGCGGAGGTTGCAGTGAGCCAAGGTCATGCCACGGCACTCCACTAGTGACAGAGCGAGAGTCCATCTCAAAAAAGAAAAGAAAAAAGAAATCAGAAAATGTTAACTCCTGCCCAGGCCGGCTTGGAGGAATGTGGTTAATAGGCAAATCTGTATACTTGGTGTCATGGAACCAGCAGGGACTTCAAAGTCAGAGACGCCAGCTTCAAAACCCAGCCCCACCACTTAATACCTGTGTGTTCTTCAGCAGGTTATGTAATCTTACTGAGGTTTAATTTCCACACTTGTGAAGTGGGGATTAAAATGTCCACCTGTAAGGATTGTTAAGGAATTAAAAGAGATAATGCGAGTAAATCGCCTTGCACTTAGTTGACCTTCAGTAAACATTTTCCTGCTCCTCCCCACCCCTGGCCTGTGTCCTTGGTACTGGGGTTGTTATGTGGAAAAAGAAATAATAAATCCCAAAGCACTCTGAAGAGTTAGGTGTGCTCTACAAATGAAAGTTATTGTATTGTTGGAGTGTGCAGAATGGAAAAATCCATGTGGTTTCACGTAGTCAAAAGAAATGGATATGATTTTCCTTGACCAAGAAGAAAGAGGAAGACATTAGATGGGAGGAAAAGGCATGGTGTAAGGGTTAGGAAGGTTTCCTTGAACATATACTTTTGTTATTTTGTTTTTATTTTTCTTTTGAAACAGTCTCCCTCTGTCCATCCAGGATGGAGTGCAGTGGAGCAATCACAGCTCACTGCAACCTCCACCTCCTGGGCTCAATCAATCCTCACACTTCATGGGTACCTGGGACTACAGGTGTGCGCCACCATGCCCAGTTAATTTTCTTGTAGTTTTTGTAAAGGCGGGATTTTGCCATGTTGCCCAGGATAGTCTCGAACTCCCGGGCGCAAGCGATCCGCCCACCTTGGCCTCCCAAAGTGCTGGGATTACAGGCATGAGCCACTGCACCCTGCTATGCTTTTGTTAAGCACTTAATCTGTCCACAGCTCTAAATGCTTGGCACTCCATGACAGTAAGCACAGAAGTCCTTATCTTCTATCTTCAAGGGGCGTACAGTCCAGTGATAAGGTTAAATACACAAGTAATTCAATGTAATGAGACATGTTATAGTAATGATACCCAACATTTATAGAGGTTTTACTAAGTGCTGGGGATCATTGTAAAGAACATGCATAAGCATGATATCATATATTCGGGGCACCTGTGATAAGGCTTGGAGAAGAAAGAGCTCCATGCCTTTGCAAAGAAAGCAGGTGGTTCCGCTGGCTGGAACGGTAGGTGCAGTGGGGGATTGGAATATGGTAGAAGCAGTAAACAGACTTGGATCACACTGAAGAATCTTGACTTTATCCTGAAAGCTGTGGGGAGCCATTAAAGGTTTTATATTGTGTTTAGTTGGCAAGGACTGAAGTTACACTGTGTAATGAGAGCTAGATATTCCACAACATCCTTGGTATTTTTCCCTCATTGGTTGGTCTAGATAGTGTCTCTTTCAATTATAAAAGTAATATTTAGGTCAGGCGCGGTGGCTCACCCCTGTAATCCCAGCCCTTTGGGAGGCTGAGGTGGCTGGATCACCTGAGGTCGGGAGACCAGCCTGACCAACATGGAGAAACCCTGTCTCTACTAAAAATACAAAATTAGCCAGGCATGGTGGCGCATGCCTGTAATCTCAGCTACTTGGGAGGCTGCGGCAGGAGAATCACTTGCACCCAGGAGGCAGAGATTTCAGTGAGCCGAGATCACACCATTATACTCCAGCCTGGGCAACAGGAATGAAAATCCATCTAAAAAAAAAAAAAGTAATATTTAATATAAAAATGTAAATAATAGGCTGATGCCCTTTTCAGTCTCAGCCCACCTACACCCAGGTGAAAAAAAAAGTAAATAATAGAGAAGTATATACAAAGGAACACAGAAGTCCACAATCTCCCTCAGCATCAGTCTAATTTTTTTTCTTTTTTTTTTGAGATAGAGTCTCACCATCTCCCAGGCTGGAGTGTAGTGGTGCGATCGCAACTCACGGCAACCTCTGCCTCCAGGGTTCAAGCAATTCTCTGCCTTAACTTCCCTAATAGCTGGGATTACAGGTGCCCACCACCATGCCTGGCTAATTTTTGTATTTTTAGTAGAGATGGGGTTTCACCATCTTGGCCAGGCTGGTCCTGAACTCCTGACCGCATGATCCACCCTCCTCAGTCTCTCAAAGTGCTGGGATTTCAGGTGTGAGCCACCACACCCAACCAGATATACATTTTTTAAAACAGAAGTGGAATCCTAAATATTGTTCATCAGCTGGATTTTTCTCATCTATTTATTAGATGAAATATTAGAATCTAATAATTAGAAAAAAATCTAATTAGATTTTTAGATTAGGCTGGGCGAGGTGGCTCATGCCTGTACTCCCAGCACTTTGGGAGGCTGAGGCAGACAGATCACCTGATATCAAGAGTTTGAGACCAGCCTGGCCAGCATGGTGAAACCCCGTCTCTACTAAAAGTACAAAAAATTAGCTGGGCATGGTGGCACGCACCTGTAATCCCAGCTACTCAGGAGGCTGAGACAGGAGAATTGCTTGAACCTGGGAGGCGGAAGTTACGGTGAGCCGAGATCGAACCACGGCGCTCCAACCTGGGCGACAGGGTAAGACCCTGCCTGAGGGGTGGGGATCTCTGCTTTCACTGCTTTGCTTTGTTTGTTTTGTCCAATTCTTTGTTCAAAACTCCAAGAACTTGGACAACTACCCTAAAAGGTAACAACTGGAGCGCAATAGCTTTTCACAGGGACAATTGATGCAGGGCAGGTGAGCTCCCAAATTTGCGATTAGCCCAGTAAGACTCGTGGTTCTTTCCTGAGCATGGGGTAGAAGAAATAGCTTGAGGATGCAGTTTTACAGCTCCATGACTGCTCCTACAGAGCAAGGCCTCGCTCTAGGCAGCGTGTGGAGAGCAGCAACTCAGGGGAACTTCTGCAGTCACATTTATATTGACTGTTAATTAAATGCAAATTAAGGGGTGGGTTATTCAGAAATTTCCAGAAAAGGGGTAGTAACTTCCAGGTTGTTATCATGGAAAAAGGCAGTAGATTCTGGATGTCGCCATGGCAATGGTAAACTGTGGCGGGCATGCCTTACGGAGAATTTCTTTCTGTGCCTCTTCCCTGTTTCAGCCAGTCTTGAATCTGATCCAAAGTCGAGGTCCTGCTTCCTACCCCCAATCATTGTGCACTACGGCCTAAAACTCCTGGGCTCAAGCCATCCATCTGCCTCAGCCTCTCAAGTAGATGGGACTACAGCTGTGTGCCACCAAGCCTGGCTAGATTTTTAACTGTTCCTTATTGATGGATATTAACTTTAAAAAAAAAAAAGTCAATATTACAAATAACACTGTTTAAATTC